GCTCTCGGTGTTCAAGTCGATCTTTATCCCCATGCTTACCTACAGTCATGTATCGTGGACCATCACTGAAAAACTTCAAACCCGGGTACAAGTTGCTGAAATGAGCTTTCTTAGACTAATCACTGGCCTTACGCGTCTCGATATGGTCCGGAATACTGATATCCGGAAAAACCTTGGAATGCAACCTTTGCTTCTCCAGATTGAGAAGTCACAGCTGCGATGGCTTGGGCATGTGTTGCGAATGCCTCCAGAAAGGAAGGTAAGCAACTTTTCCTTACAAATCCGACCGGCAGAAGCCCAGGGGACGGCCAAGATTAACCTGGTGCAAACATATGGAAGGAGTCTGTTCCAGACTGCATTTGTCTTTTTCCGAAGCTCAGACTCTGGCACAGGATCGGGAAGGACGACCAAGATTAATCTGGAGCAAATATATGGAAGGAGTCTGTTCCAGACTCCAGTTGTTTCTTGCCGAAGCTCAGACTCTGACACAGGATCGGGAACGTTGGAACCTGTCTCTGACGCACCTGCCTCCGCGACCCGAAAGGAGAAGTGACGATGGAAGATGAAGATATAAAGGTTTAAAAATTCGGCAGTTGTTTTATGCGTAAATTCAGTTCAGAATTCTTAACACATTGTTCTTATACGAATATTATAACAGAAATTACCGGTTTCAAGTCATAGTTAGCTTGTTGTCATTGTTGCTTGATAAGACACAGGCTATTACTTGTTGTCTGCTAAGTGCCTGCAATTTCTACTGGACAGAGTTTGTTAACAGATATTTTTCCTAACTAATTTAGCTGTCGTTCTGTTCTTTAATACACTGGAAATGAGGTTGACTCTTGTTTGGTTCGTTCTGTGTAGGAAACACAATGATTTGCTAAGTCATAGAATGATTATTTCGAGCCTCATCTACGTGACACTTAATCATAAGCTTATTACATTTTATTGAAAACACTGTTTTTATGTTATTTATTTCTCCTGCCAAACCGCACCTGATGACTTTTTTAGTTGGTACACTTAAACTTCTTGGTTACATCTAAGATGTTTGACCTACAAAGCATTTTTGAACAGTAGGTTCAGTTACGTACTACTGTACGTTCTAATGCGGCGTTTCAACCACACGCATTCGCAAGTTGATGCGGCTCGCAGAGCAGTGAAGTGCTTAGGAAATTCACATATCTTGAAGGCAACTTAGTTACATTTTGAAAATTGGATTGATTTGTGGTAAATTTTCATTATTTTGTTTTTAATTTTCTCATTTCTTGCTTTGCTTATTTCGCTGGCGGTGTGGAGCTTCGACGTTTACTGCCGACCTATGTTTATTTGTTCGCTGCCTTGTTGCACTCATTGTTGTTTCCTGTAAACTTGGAGTACTTTTATACTATGAATACTTGTTGAATACTTCTGGGCAAAATTTTTTAGCTATTTACAACATCACAGCAACATCAGTGATAATCACTCATTGCTGCGCTCATGATTTTCTAGGTTCAGCCGTACCCAGCTGCGTTTCACCGCTCTCTAATGTATACGCACATATGTCCTCAGCGTTGTTTCGCTGTTAATTACTCTAATTCTATGGTCTGTGACCGCAGTCTGTTCCATGAAAACTGCTTGTAAAAAATTCTGACTGATCAACCTGGTTCCCAGGAAAAAACCACCCAATATTTTGCCCAGATATGTTAAAACATGTTGAATGTTATAGAGTCGTACAAATAAGAATAGCATTACTTTTATCATAGTTGTTTAGCCGTGTAAAACACTTCTGAATTGTTAAATTAGACGCTAACATTGTACAGTCGTTACTGTAGTTTCATTATAAACTTAAAACCATACCCGGCAAAGAATATGCAGTGTTTGTACTAAAACCGTAATTGCTCTTCGCGTGATGTAAATGTCGAGGTACATATGCTTTCGGTTAGGAATTATTCCCTCTGCGACAATTCGTACATCGGCAGTTCGGTAATTGAGCGATATTGTTAGATGCACTGATACATCTTTTGATAACGCATATTCCTCCAACAGCAGCTCATCATATGGCACCGTCCCTTGCTTACAGTTGCCTAGTGAGACCATTTAATAGGCCATGGCTCCGTAATATTTCAGCACTTGCAGTGCCAGATGCATCTCGCATGATTTTATTCTATAGAGCCACCTCGCGCTGTTGCATAAACTTCATAGTACGTCTTTGTCAGATACGCATAATCCCTCTGTCAGATTTCACGGCGTAGTGCACTGTCCTTTTGCTCCTGGTTGCATTAAAGGGGAGGGGTGGGTATTTATGCAGGCCACGGCTCCTTGTTATTATTTGAGTACCTGCAGTACCAAATACATCTCGCATCATTTTGTTCGCGCGAGCCACCTTGTGCTCACTACGAACGACGTTTCAGGAGAGTGTATATCTTATGTACTCCAGAGT